TGTGTCGTAGGTGCATTTACAAACATACAAGTTCACATACACAATCACACCTAGACCCTAGAAAAAAATTTGATCACACAAAGAGTTGCTCCGTGCGGGAATCGAACTCACTACTTGTTGCGCGGCAGGTAGTTGCCTAGCCACCGCGCCAACCGTGCAGTCAAATTGAATTATTATTATTTTTGTGTATGTTTTTAGTAAATTTGCTTGCCATTGTGTACTATTGTAAATTTGAGACACAATATAAATTGTTAAAAGAATAACAAAATAAAACAAGAAATCTCATTCAAATGTTTCTTTATTCAGATATATTTACATAAAATAATTAAGTATTGAGATAATTCACATAATGCAATTTAATATTAGACAATAATTTAGATTTTACATAGAAATAATAACATAAGTATAGAATTTTAGCTGGATACAATATGAAGTATGGGTGGCTAGTATTTTGACAAAACATTATTTCTTTTTAACAATTATCTAAGGAATTAGCGATATAAGTAATTGTCAGGTTTGTGAATATTGGTCTTAGCTGTAAATGTGTCATAATTGAGCGTGATTTTCATACCTTAATATTCCTCGCTAGTACGATAATTTCATAGTGATTTTCTGATATGTTTTACTCAAATGCATGTTTATGAAAGTGCTAGAATACTAAGATTTTCACTGGATCTATTTAAAATCATGATTCAGCACGCTTAATGAAATTCGTTTAGCATAACAGTGAATTTGAAACCGATACTTCCAATAATACAAGCGTTCTTTATAAAATGCATTTTAAATATCAATTTTAGCAAAATCTACAATATCTAAAACCCGTCGCGTATTGTTTGGGTTTTTACTTTTAAATATTTTAATACATTTTTTATATAACCTTACCCTAATATTGTTGGTAAATAAATTAATTGAGATATACAATTTATAAAGTTTCAATTTAAACATGACGTAACTTTTGATAACAATTTCATTAATACCAATCAATTGACCAATGTAAGTGTAGTGATGTGGTTTTATCGACATCGACAGTCGATAGTTTCGATATATCGACAAGGGATTGCTTCGTTTTATAACGGAATGTTAGTTAAAGATTGGTGTCCATTCCTTTGTTACAGGCAAGATTTTGAGATGATTTTTTCATCAAATTGTTTATTTATAGAAATAAACAGCAATCTTTTTTAAAACGTTCGAAAAACGGTTCACTGAGCGGGTATTACATAAAATTTGTTCATAATACGTTTACATTAATATACACAATTATATAAAAAGCAATATACATTCAGTTCTTTCTGGTGCAAAATTTGTTTTTAATCTAAATATTAACTTTAACCATTTTAACTAAATAGTACTGAAACATTGGACAAACGCTATTCATATAAGTGATAATACTAATTTTGGGAGTAGAAATTCCAAAGATACAGTTACATGTAGGATGTCGTTACCCATTATAATAAAAAAAAAACACTTCAATTATCGCTTGAAGAAAACCTAAGGCTGTATTTAAAATAAAAAAAGGAAATTCAAATAATTTTGGTCACAGATTATAGTGCCACACGAGTTGATGTTATCGCTGTACCAATTCATACAAAATCGTTATTATGTATTTTCTACACTTCACACAATTGCACGATAATCTACCAACAAAAATCTTTGGACAACTAAAATTAATTAATCGATGTTCGTTTCTCAAAAATGATACATACATTTTGAAGGTAGATGGCGCCACTATAGTTTATGCTTCACACCATATGAAACATGTATTTAAACCGAGATTCACTTATCGTTTGCAAGTATATAAACACAATTCTCGTGGTATAGAACTAACCTATGAAGAAAAAAAATCTCATATATTTATAAGAACTAAGTAATTCAATCTTAATAATAATTTGAAGACGCATAGTCGTAATAATACATTACGGTCGTAAACAAAACAGACTAGATTGTTAAAAAAAATTAACAATATTACAAAAACACATTGCTTACACTTAAAGGGTGAATAATCACAAATTATTTATAATGAGATTTGTTACATGTTGGGTTAATACCTACACCTAAAATCATAGAAATGTTTATAGTTAAACTTAATACTTCTTTATGGGACAGTCGGGTAAAATACTATATAACATAATCAGCACTTTTATAAGTTTTACGTAAAGACTTTGCGCATTGATCCAAAGATATATCTTATACTATTATATAAAGCGGAAGAGTTTGTTTTTTGTTTGTTTGTTTGAACGCGCTAATCTCCGTAACTACAAGTCTGATTTGAATAATTCTTTTTGTGTTGGATAGCGCATTTATCGAGGATAGCTATAGGCTATTAAACATCACGCTACGACCAATAGGAGCTGAGCAGAGCGTGTGAAACTGCGCGGAAGTAGCTAGTGTTTTCTCTAAGTTTGATGTACAAAAAGATAACATTATTATTCGGGTTTATTCGCCATAATTTAACACAAAAATGTATAAAAGGGTTAATTAAGTTTAAATATCAACATTTCTACTTAAAATAATGAACATCACTTTACACACAAAGCATTAAAATAAAGCATAACCATTTAATGTTTATAAATTAAAACTTAAACATTAAATGTGACGATTATTTTGGTAATATAAACTTTTTAATAACTTCATTAAAAATTCAAATAATCACATTATTTATTATTATTATTATTTCATATACAAAACTTATGTATATTATATAGTATACATTTCTAGCGAGAAAGTTAAAAATTATATATCATAGTAACATCGAATTTCAATTGGTATCCATGTCTCTATTTTAAGAGTATTGGATAGTAATTGAATGTCGATTATCGATATAATAGGCGATATCGATTAAACGGCGAATAATCGATATTATTTAATCGATAACGATACAAAGAGGTAACGAAATGATTTTTCTATTTGTTCCACAGTGGGGTATAATAACTACCTACCTATAAAGGAATGGCAGTGTTCACTTAGTTAGATTATCATTGTCAAATATTATTTGAAAATATATACAAATTACTGACAATTATTTTTCGGATGTAATAGTCCTTGAGCGAAAAATTTATTATTATATTTGAAACCCGAGTAAATTATACATTAAATTAGTTTTTTTAATATTTTCAAATAACATTCGCAATAACGTACATACATAATATTATCATTTGGTTAAAAAACATAGAAAATTAACGTCACAACTTAATTTATTATCTCATACAATACATTGTTCATGTTTAATCATAATAATTATTTATTAAATAATAATTAATTATTGAAATTAATTTTAGCTTAGTTTTACATCGGCGGTGAACGACCTCGTCAAGGTAGCGTATAGAGTATTAATTAATACTAAAATAAAAGCAATTAAATACAATTTGGTTAATAAAATCCTACAACTATTTTCTATTTAATATATTATGTTTCTGTGTATAAGTGGAATCAGTTTATTATGAAATTGTTATTTGCGTAAAAAACACTAATCTGTGGAAATCATTAATTTGTCAAAGGCGATTTGGAGTTTATAACAGTATCTTGTTAAGCAAAAAAAATGCTTGAAGCAATAAATATTGAATTTGTAAATATGTATTTAAACATAACATAACGCATGTTATTTCCTAAAGAAGATAGTAGAGATGTGTTGTCATCAAACATCGAGATCAAATTCTAAAAGAGAGATAAAGTTCGAAGATGAGAAAGAAAAAAAGAATGTGCTGAACACAAAACATCGAGACAAAATACGCGTTAGTCATTTCACGAGCGATTGATACGTATTACAAACAATATACATATGTTAATTGATTATTTTTTTAACTATAATAAACGGAATCCACTTATAAACCGCTCCTTACGTACATGGATATAAAATACATAATAAGACAGAGTCTAATTGACCTACAAGCCACATCGGGTCTTTACAACTAGAGCTTAGTGCACACTGCCGGTATTAGGTATTAGGCATATACCTAAATAAAATATTTTAAATATACTCATTAGGGACAGAGGAACTCTTCCCTCTGTGACACGTAACTAATAGAGTTTTTCTCAGTATAACGTGAGTCACTCATAATCTTTAGTTACTATAAAGTTTGTTAAGGATGAAGTGTCTTGCATATAAATCTGGTCATTTTAATTGGAATAGTTTACTGAATTTACATACGATTTTTATCCCCGAAAACATAGGCAGAGGTGCACATTACGGCACTTAACTCGTTGAGTACCGTCATTATAGACACAATTATAGAACAATAGGTTGCGGTCACCGGTGACCTCTTGGTGTTTGACAGTTTAATGCCACTGTACAATGTAACACCCACTTTTCACTATTTATGTTATGAGTCCCATGTAATAGGGAGTGAGCCTATTGCCATATTTAATGAATTTGTTTCGTAATAATTAGCTAAACAATGAAATCAAAATAGTTTCATATCATGGTTAGTTATAATAAATCTATGAAATAAGAACATTAATTTCATAAGTAAACACTTAACATTGATACGACAAAGTTGAAACTAAATAAATAATAAAGTGTACAGTAAAAATAAATTCATAAGAATTTGATCATATCATGAAGTAATTAATTTAAAACATTTACACATTGTGAATCGTCAATTAAATGTAGAAAATATCGAATTTTATTTACAAATGTAACGAGAATATAGGACTTGCCTACAATTCCGTCTACGCCTAATATCCAGTCAATGTGCACTTAGCTTTATAATTATAAATAACTCTATTATTAAAAATTTGTTTATTATCGTTTAATGGAAGGTTCAGTATCAACGTTTTCATGCAAAAACCCATTAATTTTAATTATTATTTATTATCATTATTATTTTTGTTTCTGATAAATAATTTAATGATATTGCAAAATAAATCTTCCATAATATAATTTCTTTAGGAACCAAATATGTTGTAATAATAATAGTATATATAATAAATTAATAATTAATTTATTACAAAATGCTATATTTATGATAGATATATTTTTATTGGATATTAAAATATACCCCAGAGTATACAGATTAAAAATTAATTTAAGTTTGTATGTGTGCTAACTAATATAGAACTAAAAAGTTTCTTTGTAATACATAATTAGTAAAACATAACGCCTATATCCTACAAGAGGTAGGCAGAGAAGTATTTGTACATATTGTACAGTTTATTAATCATTATTGTCATCCTGAATATTTACATTTTATTAAATAAATTATTTTGTTTTTAAATCATATCTATCACAAATATAGCAGTGTATAATTTAAAGTTTTTAAAGCATCGCTTGCTACGGCATTTTGAACTCTGTGTATAGGACACAAGGTACAGTTTGTAGTCCCGATCGCAACTAATACAATGTTTTAACAAAAGCAAGCGTAGAAACGGGACATGTCAAGTGTCCATGATGAGTTCAGCTGGTTTCTGGAAAATATATTAATTTATCTTTTAAACATCGATATGTTTATACCTCAGTGTGGCAACATATAATAATACATTTTATTTCCACCCCTCTACGCTTCCCCCGTCTTTTTTGATGGGATAAACGAGCACATGTATTACATTATGGTAAGCAATCGGTGTCGCCCATGGACATCTGGACCACCAGAGGCGTTACAAGTGCGATACCGTGGGGTTAAGAATTTGAGGATTGTTGGCGATTCAGAGATTGGGGAGTGTGGGGGGATAATTGTCCTCCGGTAACGTCACTCACACGACGAAACAAAACACAAATGTTGTTTCACGTCGGTTTCACTGTGTGGCCGTGGTAACTTCGGTCGAGCCGGCCCAGCACTGCCGAAGCATGGCTCTCCCACATTTAAAAATCGACAGTGGGGTTGGACCCTGGCACAATGAGACCCACCGCTTCTTTTAATTGGCTAGATGGACCTCATACAGAATAATTAATCACTTTAATGAATTGACTATAGCCAATTATTTATTGGTTACTAAAAATCGGCAGCCCTCATTGATGAGGGACATCAGTGTTCTTTGCAACAACTTAAACCTACAAACCTGTTTAAACTAGAATCCAGTAGAGTATAAATATACAGTAGAATGCACATACCATCAAGGATCCATAGGATGCGGCGGTGAAGCTCCACAACTACTGTCCTCGGAATGCAGACCGTCACCTAACTCCGTACCAACCTGCACGATATAAAATCGATATGAGTGTTATTTTTATTATTTAAGTTCGGTTAAAAAAGGATAGGGGAAGGGGTGTCGGCAAACAAGATGTAAGGAAGATGCGGCAGTGAAGAAGTAAGTCTAGAGTAGTCAACGAAGAAGGAGCCTGCTCCTATAAAAACCTATAAAAGAAGTTGGCGAAGAAAATGTAAAAAATTACGAGGTTAGCAAAAAAGCGTAGGAAATGAAAGGATCGGCACCAAAGGGGTGCATTAAGGAGGAGAGTGAAGGGGAGAAGCGAGTGCAGAGTAAATTACATGACAGGTTTACCTTCAGCACATCATGCAGTGAGCTCATGCTGCCCAGGCTGAGTGGAGTGATGGACCGCTCCAGTAGGGAGCCGCTCCCCTGCGAGCCGCCCCCCAGCGACCGCTCCATACGTGGGGGGGACGCGGGGGGGTCGCACGGGGCGTCACGACGACCTGCACTTCTCCAGGAACCTGGAAACATCATGAAGAGCTCTAAAAATGCATATCAAACTAACGGCGGGAATTAATTAACCTCAAACGAGAATATCAGGATCAATCAGTTTTTAGGTAGACATCTTGTAGTTGATGACAATGAAGGCACTATGTAACATGAAGCATTGTTTTTGGAACCTGCTACATGCGTGCTGCTATCAGAGCAGGTCCGCTCAAACTGTTTTAGATCTTTTCTCAAAAGAGTACTCCAGAATCAGCTTGTAAGGTTCTCGCACATTATATAATGTCTGGACTTTAAAAGAGACGGACCTCTGAGTTTATTTCGGCATTTCTTCTCAGAGTAGTAAGTTAGGAAATGTCTGCCATCATCAAGTAATTTAAAGATTGACGACATGTAAAAGTGTAATAAACCTAGTTACAGAAATAAAGATCATTAATTATTATATTTCCGCTATATTCACATAAGTGGTTGACGAGGAACTCGACTAGTTTCAAGCCATGCTAGAGGCTCATACACATGAGCAGTATTCAGTATGTCTCACGGTAGTTTTAATATAAAAATAAATATAATTTCATTTCTAGATGAAAATGGCTAAATAATATATGAATCAAACATTAGAGTATTTATTGTTCTACATACCGTTATAGGATCCAGTACCGTGCGATATCGTTAACGGTGACGTTCGTTTACTACTTTCTCGACTACTGTACATCTGTGAATGACAAAAACAAACATATTAGAATACACATTTCCATAGTGCTTTTTTTTTGAGGGAGGGTGAAACGACAGGGAGTGTCAGACTCTTACTGACTGGCTCCATATCGGCATCAGCCCTATTGGGCCCCATCCGTGGTGGTCTGATGGCTCTTTGAGACGCGCGCGTAACGCAACTCGCCGTACGCTGGGGTCTGGTCGGGCGGCGAGCTACCCATGGTGGAGATCGTCTCGCGACCCCCGACGCCCGAAGTTTCTCTCGCGACGGCTGGGGTGTAAGGAGGGTCGTTTCCTCACGCGCCCCGCCTCCACCTTAACTAGCATGACTGCTTCGCAGAAGGAGCAGACGACATCCCAGTCCTCCTCGCTCCGTATTTCAATAGTGCTAAGTCTCACAGATACATTTATCAGTGAATAGTTTAGCCAAGACATGCATATGCAAACAGACAAAAATTCTAAAAACCATATTTTTGGCTTCGATATCGATTGTACATCACATAGTAAAAAAAATATTCAATGTACAGTTTATACCTACGATTTTATTATATGTATAGATACGTACCTGTGGATGATCATCGGCAGTTTCGACGGTGGTGGGCAGGTCTAACAGTCTCTGCGACCGGATCCCGTCCCCGGGGCCCATGTGGGACAGGTGCGCGAAGTTTGTAGGGGCTGATATTAGACGGGACCGTCTTTCTGATCTGTAAGCGATTTTATAGAGTCGTTAAATATGGCGGCAAAGATTCTTGTACCATAAATGTACAAAGAGATAGGGAGAGATTACTCATGGTAGTTCTTGCTCACACGTTCAAAATGAAAATAAAAATGTTGGACCATGGAGTTTTTTGGTAGTTCTTCTCCATAGAAAAAAATATTTTAGGTTTAGCATTTAGTTTCACTAAGCCAACTGACAGACATTTCTAATTGTTTTAGTCGTGTTTTGCTCTTTTTATGGGATAACCCGGTAAACGAGCAATCGGCGTCGCCCATGGACACCTGGAACACCAGAGGCTTGCGTTAAAGGGGTTTTGGGGATTAGGAATTTGAGGATTGTTGGGATTCAGTAATTGGGGAGGGTGGGGGATAATTGAGCCTCCGGTCACTCACACGACGAAACACGACGCAAGCGTTGGTTTTCTGTTCGGCCGTGGTGTCACTCCGGTCGAGCCGGTACGTTCGTGGCGAAGCATGGCTCTCGCACAATTAAAATTAGTCTGATTGAAATAAGTGACTTTGAATATCATTCATAATCTTTTCGTTGACACCATTTATAAACACAACCAATAAAATTGTGTTAGAGCACGAGTACATGGGTATGCATTGTACTTACAATCTATTGTGCGCTTCAATAGCTTGGTGTGACTGTTCCCGTACTGAGAACCTTCTCTTGTTGCCCCATAGGGACGTGTCTACGCTCAGCGGTGGGTCCGACGCTCGCGGATCTGACAAAACAAATAGGTAATGATGTACGAGTATGTTCACAGTAAATAGGTTATGAATTAGCACTTTTAAACTAAATAAGACTGATATTAACTTTGTAGAACTACTTTGGAAGAAATGCTAAAGTAAATTATTATAAATAAATAAGGGTGCAAACTCGACAAATTTTAATGATAAAACCCACCGAAATATTTATAATAAAATTCAAAATACTTTTTACAATCAATTTCCAAATTATCTTTAGGAACAAAATATCTTTTCAAAAATATATTATTTTTATACTTTATAGGTCGACGTTTGGGCACCATCACGCCCGGTGGTAAGGGATGATTTCCTTAATTTTTAAGTAATGTATCGTCTATAATAGTTTTCATTATGGGCACATAGGTAGTTTTTTTTTTTTAAACAAAACGTTGCCCCACACTAGGATTATCTCCTGTGTCGTGGGTCCATTTACAAACATATAAGTTCACATACACAATATGACACCCAGACTCGGAACAACAATTTGTGGATCACACAAAGTGTTGTTCCGTGCAGGAATCGAACCCGCAACACGTTGCACGGCAGCCGGTTTGCCCAGCCACCGCACCAACCGTGCAGTCAGTTACAAATTTATGCTTTAGTTTAAATAAATGCTTTGTCTTTAACACAATATTGAATGTATAATTTATGAACAATAATTTCACTTACGTGTCAACAAAGGTCGGAGGTAAATGATGAATGGAGCGGCGTCAGTAGAGAATGGGAACCCGTTCCCGCTGCCGCCGCCCACGCAACAGATCCAACCTGTCTCGTCCAGCGGCCGGGCGCTCGCTGGAAGGCGAGACAAAATACTTGGTAAACATTTACTTAAACCTGGAGTAATCTTTAAAAAAATCTGTCTTATTTGCTGACTGATATCGATAAAACATAACATCACTCCCCCGAAGGGGTAGGCAGAGGTGCACATTACGGCACTTAATGCCACTGTACAATGTAACACCCACTTTTCACTATTTATGTTATGAGTCCCATGTAATAGGGGGTGAGCCTATTGCCATATGTCGAGCACAATTCCAGACGCCGTGCTACTACTTAACTGCAGATTAAAAAAAATCCAGTATTATCGATAAAACTTTTACTCATTGCATAATATACCTGATTAGAGATGTGTGAGGTTTTTTTAAACAAAACATAGCATCTCCTTATCTCAATGTGTTCCAAAATAATAGAACCTTCTGAAACAAGATTATTTTCAAAGACTATGTAGAGGTATAGTACGCATAACCTACAAAACTGTATGTGTATCATGTCTTTTTTTTTAAACATTGCCCCACACTAGGATTTTCTCCTGTGTCGTGGGTGCGTTTACTAACATACAAGTACACATACACATGACACCCAGACCCGGAACAACAATCTGTGGATCACACAAAGTGTTGTTCCGTGCGGGAATCGAACCCGCGACACGTTGCACGGCAGCCGGTTGCTCAGCCACCGCACCAACCGTACCAACCCCACCACCAACAGTCGAGATCTAGATCTGACATAATAAAATAAAGTTGGATATTTTACATGTATATTATGCTATAATTATGATGTATGATGCTCTGTTCATTGCACTCAAAGTTGATATTTAACGACGTTCCTTGACTAAATATAGCAAAATTAGTAAAAAAACTAAATAAACTTACGTATATTCATAGTTTGCACCCAGTCGCCAGTTTCAATGTCGTACACGTCGATATGCGTCGCAGTGAATATTAGAAGATGTGTGTCGTTGATTGCTGAAACCGATAACATTAGGTAAGTACGTAAGTAAAAACATAATTGTAAATTTCGTTTCAAATTAATACTTTAAGGATTGAATCGGTTTGTAACTTGTCAGTTATCTCTCAAAAAATATGATATTTGGCCGTTTGAATCAAAATGAATAACGTAATCTTAACAAATAAGCCACAGAGATTTGCAATCTGAAATGGCACAAAGCTTAGTAATTATCCCAAATGTTTATTGCAGACAAAATCGTGAGTCCGGATAACTTTAATGATATTTTTCTATGACACAAAAACACGAAGCCATTTAACAAGTTTCTTTATAAACAGACACGGTAGACTCGTACCGTGGTGCGTGGGATGCGCGGTGTACATGAGCTCGGTGTCCCGCGCGCGGTGGCCGGCGCGGTCGACGTACAGCGCCAGCGAGTTGAAGACCAGCAGCGTGTCGCCGCAGGCCAGCGGCGCCGCGCCCAGCGGACGCGCGCCCGAGTGCGACAGGAACACGCTCACCTGGTTCTCGGGGTGCACCAGCGCTGTGGACACGGGGTACTGTTCTATAATACGGTACATATTTTAATCATTTGTTTTTAATAAGTATAGTATGCATACCTAGTATTTTCAATGCTATTCTAGCATTATAATACCTATATATTGGTATATAATATTATTCCTGTATTAATTCATTTTAAAAAGCCTTAAATTTTAGGTTAGGAGTCACATTTTCTTATGTGATTTTTGCTTTTGTTACTAACGTGTGACGTCACACGCGTCACGTGACTAGAGCCATTACAATGACCTCGTCTTTGCCGGACTTTTTACATTTTAAATTGTAACATCGATGTTTACCCTAAATACTGTAAATTTCGCAGTTATATTAATTTTATACGTTTATAACATACTAAAACAACCATATAAAACGATTTCCAAAATTTGTCAAATACCGTATTCATGTCTAAATAGAAAGAAATTCTCTTTCTGAAAAAAATTTATGTTTAGATGAGTAAGTGTAGTTATCGTGTGTAAAGTGAGTGGGTATAAAGGATATTGGTGCGTTAAGTAAGTGTGCGTAACGAATTCGTGTACGTAAAGCGAATGCGTCTAAGGAACTCGTGGGTGTATGGAAATCGCGCGTAAAAAGCGAGTGTGTGAGGAATTTGTGTGTGTAAAGTCAGTGTGTGTAAGGCATTTGTTGTGTATAGTGTAGTGAGTAGGTCGATGCGTGTATATAGTGTATACTGTCGGGCAGTGCGCGCGATGTACCAGTACGTAGTGAGTATGTATGTACATGTATACTGACAGACGGCGGGCTGGTCGTGATGCGGGCGGCGCGGGTCGGGCAGGCAGTGCGCGCGATGTACCAGTACGTAGTGTATGTATGTATGTACATGTATACTGACAGACGGCGGGCTGGTCGTGATGCGGGCGGCGCGGGTCGGGCAGGCAGTGCGCGCGATGTACCAGTACGTAGTGAGTATGTATGTACATGTATACTGACAGACGGCGGGCTGGTCGTGATGCGGGCGGCGCGGGTCGGGCAGGCAGTGCGCGCGATGTACCAGTACGTAGTGAGTATGTATGTACATGTATACTGACAGACGGCGGGCTGGTCGTGATGCGGGCGGCGCGGGTCGGGCAGGCAGTGCGCGCGATGTACCAGTACGTAGTGAGTATGTATGTACATGTATACTGACAGACGGCGGGCTGGTCGTGATGCGGGCGGCGCGGGTCGGGCAGGCAGTGCGCGCGATGTACCAGTACGTAGTGTATGTATGTATGTACATGTATACTGACAGACGGCGGGCTGGTCGTGATGCGGGCGGCGCGGGTCGGGCAGGCAGTGCGCGCGATGTACCAGTACGTAGTGAGTATGTATGTACATGTATACTGACAGACGGCGGGCTGGTCGTGATGCGGGCGGCGCGGGTCGGGCAGGCAGTGCGCGCGATGTACCAGTACGTAGTGAGTATGTATGTACATGTATACTGACAGACGGCGGGCTGGTCGTGATGCGGGCGGCGCGGGTCGGGCAGGCAGTGCGCGGCGATGCCCCCGCGGTACCCCAGCAGTAGCCGCGCGCCCGCCAGCTGTAGACTCAGTACGGCGCCACACGCGCGTAGTTCGGCCACTCGAACTCGTCGCGCTGCCGTGCGGGTTATCTCGTACACGTTCACCACGTACGCGTTCTACACAAATATACAACACCATTACATTATATCTAGAACTGATAAAAAATCTATAAAAACAATCCTATCATTTCAAAGTTCGGAGTGGGCATTTCAAAGTTCGGAGAATGGGCCTTACAAGGACTAGAGAGTAGTAATTTCAAGGTTCGGAGAGTGGACATTTCAAAGTTCGGAGTGGACATTTCAAAGTTCGGAGAATGGACATTTCAAAGTTCGGAAAATGGACATTTCAAGGACCGGAGAGTAATCATTTCAAGGACCGGAGAGTAATCATTTCAAGGACCGGAGAGTAAAAGGACCGCAAAGTTCGGAGAGTGGTCATTTCCAAGTTCGGAGTGGACATTTCAAAGTTCGGAGAATGGACATTTCAAGGACCGGAGAGTAGTCATTTCAAGGACCGGAGAGTAAAAGGACTGCAAAGTTCAGAGAATGGTCATTTCAAGGATCGCGAAGTTGACACTTCGAGGATCGGGCGGTAGGAATTTCACTCTCCCAGAATCTCTCACATAATTCTTATTCTTTATACCTATGAACATTTTCAGACATTCATAATCATTATAACACATAAAACAGATCACAATAACTAACCTGCTTTTTACACAGTACAGCGAATCCATGTGCAGAATGTCCTAACGGGCCGGCAGCCAATGAGAGCGCGCCTTTGCTTTCTGCTAACTTGATACACTCCACTTCTGCGCATTCTAGCGCTCGGATCGGTACTAAGCGGACGTGTCGACCGCGGCCCGCTATTACCACTGTAAAGTAACAATTTTGACATGTATTACTTGTTTGCATGTAAAATTTGAGACAAATAGTAAATGTTTAAAAGAAATGAGCATTGGAAAAATATGTGCCACTTTCTTGGGCAATTAGTGTATTGCTGTCGGTGTAAAAATTTAACAGCATTATAGTTATAGACAAAAGTTAAGTAACAAGTGAATTATCCACTACACAGCATTTCCATATTGAAATAACAAAAATCATTCACATATTTTCAACATATAACATGACAATGTTATAGTTGGACCATCACACATGTACGAACTGTCATAAGTAATTTTAATCGGATCTCTCGCTCACACGTATCCGTGTTGTAAAGCATTGCGTGTAACGTGTGCATGAAACGTGAAATACAAAATGAACCATATCACTGTATAAATAAAGCATTTTTAACACTGAATATTCAAACGATTAATTGTATGATTAAGCACTTTTTGTACATGATAAGGGTAAATTGGATAATGTTTAATTATATAAAAGCAAATATTACAAATGTTAAGATTAGCACAGATCACCTATATACAGAGTGTAAACGGTACGCTCCCGAAAAACAAACGCCGACAGGTGACCAAGTTTTATTTTCATATATTAGCTGTTAACTTCTCAAGGATGATGTTGCATGAATAATACGAAAATAACAACGAATAAAGTTGTAAAAACAATTTCTTTTCGTCAGCGGTTCGGGAGCGTTTTGTTAACACTCTGTATACCAAAAGAAGATAAAAATATGACTAGATATGTAATACATAGACGAGCCCCAATATTATGATTGTTAGTAATTGACCAAATGAAATTGAATTCTTCGCAAAAAAGGACCCAGAGAACCCAATAGATTTTTGTTGAACTTCTATGATTTTAAGATACTATTTTAGCACTCAATTTACTGTTCAGTCAAAGTAGGTACAGTTTCGACGCAATAATTGCGACTCATGTTTTTCAATCAATAAAGGTTTCCAACAATCTCCGAGCTTGTCAGGGTTTTAGTTCGCAGAGGTTCAGTTTTATTAGAGAGTGCTGTCCAGTCCAGAAAAAGACATAGTGACAATTGTTTGCTATTTTTATTCTCGACACTAAAACGATGGCAATAAAAATGGATTCTATAGTCTGCGCTAACCCTAACCTTACAAAGAACAGAATATTAAAAAATCTTCAACAATATCCTCCAATCGTGAGCGTAGACAGAAGTAAGACGCGATGTGTTACGTCGCGCGATACCGGTGAATATCAAAGGATTTCTGTGAGTATAGCTAGTAGCTATGAAATCCGTTGGCATTCACCGATACCGAACCACGTTTTCCGGCTTCGAATCTTCGGTTTTCGTCCTGTTGTAGTTTTTAAGTGGTACTATTTTTTTTATATGATTTGAAGTGTTTATTTTAGATCTCTATGAGACATTCCCGTTACAGTTAACTATATAACGTTATGACGATGAAATTAATTATTTTATCATTGGTTGTTGTTTTTCATTTGTTTAGTACAGTTTACACAAGATATCTACAATGAATGATTACAATTTTGTTAGCATTAGGGTACAGAAAAATCTTAAAACGATTACATATTAGTTACACAGATATTTAAATGTAAAACTTTATTGTACACCATGAACAATGTTGCATTTACATATTAAATTAAGAATTTGAATATAAATAGGTTACAAGAGTAACGTTACAGCTAAAAGCCATGACTAGACAACCACCTTCAAACAATGATGTTAATTGCAATATTAGTTCGCAGTAAGACCATTACATATTTCTATTAAATTGAAAAACTGACGCCCAAATACTGTAAGGCTTCTCAATTTTAAATTGTACTTAAATATCGTGCCATCTCTGACATTTTACAAAGAATTTGTTGTGACAGAAATATTTCTTCTAAGTACGCGCGGCGTGAGCTCGGCGCGCTCCAGGTCCAGCAGGCACAGCCCGGCCTCGCCACCGATACATACTCGGGACTGCTCCAATATGACGTCGAAGTGGCTACGTACCGAGCAACTGTTCCTGCGGCACGTATGCGACGGTGGTGACGGGCGCGTGCTGGCGGCGCGGCGTGAGCTCGGCGCGCTCCAGGTCCAGCAGGCACAGGCCGGCCTCGCCGCCGATGCAGACCCGGGACCGCTCCAGGACGCAGGCGCAGAGCGCGTTGCGGACCGTCGCCGCCGCCGTCGAGTCCAGTAGCACGCACGCGCTGTATACCTGTGGGTACGTACGGATTTGTACTGGCTGGTTTGTTAAGAGTATTTTTTTAGGGGGCGTCCATAAATTACGTGAGGTATTTTTTTTCCTCCCCCATGGTGAGATTTCATGAGATTTTATTCACACCCCGTCCCCCAATCTCACCAGAGATTTTTCAGGCGTAAGAACGTCTTACGCCGAACGCGGCTGACATATGATAGTGGCGCGAAAACAAAGGACGAGCTACACTAGACTGTAAATGACAAAAACCAAATTTGTATGGAGCGTGGTGCCTTTTCATTTTTTCGCGGCAGTCGATCGGATGTGGAAAAACTGATGCAGAATAACATTACAAACAAAAATATATATGGGGTCTTATATCAAAAACTCAGTCCGAACCGAGTTAAATCAGTTCAAAGATGTGAAAATAGTGCTATATTATTCCTGTTATTTGGTTGATGGTGACCGTATACAACGCATATTTCTTCATTTTCTTGTCAGAAATATTTTATAATACATGTTTATAAACGATTTCAAGGAATATAATAAAGCTTATTGTGGACTTTTTAAGTTTTTTTTTTTTGTTACGGTATATGTATACGGTTGGCCTATGACAGATTTTCATGATCAATTTCCTCTCAGTCGAAAACCCGCAAAATACTTTACTGAGCTCTATCATGAAACGCTTTGTTTGTCAGATGCGGCGCCGGCAGCGGATTGAGTAGCGGCAGTTGTCGAAACACGAAAAAATCATTTTTCTGTCTACTTCTCCCGACTTACTTCCGATTAGTAACTAATCTAACTACAGTTAATACTTTAATCTACAGCTAGCATAAGATTCTGTACAAAGATATCGTCATTCAGTCACAAAGTGATGGATTATATTTCGACTGATCACATTATATGAAAAAATTATGCGCTCATCTGACGTATAGTCCATCACTTTACAAGGTCGACGGTTTCCTTTCTTCAAAAGATTATGCTAGCTTTGAAGTAGACGAGTCTCCCTCCAGGAGTCAACGGCAAAAAAATAATACTTTATTAGATGTTTGGACGGCTACCCAAATCAACCCACCATGGGTACCGCAGCTGAGGCGCACGTACGATCATGACACACCTCCTTGAAGCATCCCAAAAGTTATCGACTGAGAGAAAATAGGTGACAAAAATTAGTGCCTGGTATGCCAGGTGTACAGTGGCGCGTAATGTAAAATCAGGGATAAAAATATGAATAATTTGAATAAAAACAGCGAAAACTATACGTCAGGTGGGCACATTTTTTTATATTTGTGTGATCAGTCGAAGTATAATCCATTACTTTTGACGATATCTTTCTACAAAATGTTATTATAGATATTTGGACGGCTACCACTACTCAACCCACCACTGGTACTACAGCTGACGCTCATGGAGCTTCATAACACAACTCCTAGAAGCATCCCACAAGTTATCGACTGAGAGAAAATAGCTAATAAAACAGTTAATAGACATAATAATATGATCATGTAATCCAACGTACACATTTGTCCGGCAGGTTGTTCCGCTTGAGTATCCTGTGCAGTTCACTGAGTGCGACGACCCACTTGGTCTTTTCTGACTCGGACTCCGCCAACATCAGTGTATGAGATCTCTTGCCGCCTTCCAGTTGGGACGTTGATATCTGAAATAATAAATTAAAATTGTTTCATCATTACAAGCTTTACTATCAGACTTTAGACGAACGATCTATTAGAAGATGTTGCAACAGTGATGACCCGCTGGTATTTGATATTTCTAATTAATTTTTAGATAATTTAAAATGGTTTAGATAGATAAGAATGGGCTACGATGGGGCTGCCGTAGCCTATTGGTTAAAAGCCCCTAAAATAAAATAGATAATAAAAAAAAACTTTAGACAACAAGTTTCTCCAATATTAACTCCTTTTTATTATTATTTTACATATACTGCCTGCTGCCTCTCTCGTTGACCGAGTGATCGCAAATGCGATTGCCGGGCGAGGGGTCTCGGCATCGATTCTCGAGTCGGTTTTTTAAACAACTCTCAGTTACTACTGACAATTTCTACTACTGCTCCCTGCTACTGCACGGAATTTAGAATTGTGCCCGGTATATGGCAATAAGCTCACTGTCTATTACATAGGACTCATAACATAAATAGTGAAAAGTGGGTGTTACATTGACAGTGGCATTAAGTGTCGTAATTTGCGCCTCTACCTACGCTTTCAAGGATAAAAGGCGTGATGTTATATATATAAGTTTTAAAAGAATACGTTACAATTACTATACCTTCGGAAAGGCCAAAAATCTTCTGCACAGTGTAACAAATTGACATGAACTCTATAAATTTAAATACTCACCCTAAATATACAAGGTATGTCCCGTTTGCTGGCGTGTATGACGTCAGACTCCTTCACTGACGTCACGCTGAAATCCGGGTCACGCATGTCTAGCACCTGACTCACGCATACCGACGGGAGCGCGTTACTGGAACATTCCATATTGTTTTATTAAACTGTCAATAAAAACTAGACATTATTATATATATCGTACCGAACATCCCCAAAATTTGTTCATACAAAAGTAGTCTCTAAACATCGGAAATAAGGTCTATACTGGAGTTAGTGGGGAGCGGTCGCCGGTGACCGCTTGGGGATTGAACAGTTAATTATGTATGATCATCCCACATTAGACCTTTCTACATTTCCTCTACTCTTCTATAAAATATTAGTTACTTCCAGCGGTTTCATCCGCGCTACTCGGGCGCTATTGATCGCAGCGTGATATTTTATAGCCTATAAGCCCTCCTCGAGAAATGCACTATCCAACACAAAAATAATTATTGAAATCGGATACTATTTTCAGCTTTATACACCTCTAATACGTATAAAATGAAAGACATTTAAGGTTATTCTAAACTGAGAGTTGTATAGAGGAGACGAAAGACTTCTTTGCTCGCTTACGACAAATATTTAACATCTCTCCCACATAATTACGGGTACCTAAGTACTCTTAAGTTACGTAAGAATAAACCTACAAAATTACATGAGACAATTACTAAACAATATTTTAGATTAAACAAATAAAACTCACCGATCTTGCGATATGTCGTAGAGGAACAGTTTGAAGTCACACACGACCACAAACTGTCTCATCCACCCTTTCTTCACGCCACCGGGCTTCGGGACCTGAAGAGAAAACAGAATAAATTGTATTTATATACATGCAAAAGGGATGCCGGGGTATGAAAATTAAAAATGTAATTAGTCCGTCAGTTAGGTAATGAAAAAATATTAGACACGTATTTTTTTATTTTAATGTATAATAAAAAGATACTTAGATATAACGAATTAAAATTTAGGGGTGGGGGCTTAAACGTCATTTCTCCATATAAAATGTACATAGAAGTGACGTCAAGCGCCATTTCAAAACAATATATAGTCGAAAGTATTCTTTTCTGAAAAAAAAAAATACGTGTGTAATATGTGAGGTCGTGGCATTATTCCGATCGAGCCGTTTCAACAGTACAAAATGTATGGAGTGGAAACGGAGTGGTTTATAGTCAGTAAGAGTTTGACATTCTTTTACCTCACCCAAGGCGAGGAAAATTATTGGATGATGCGATTTTTTTGTAACCGTGAAAACAAACTTTTTTTATGGAATAGCAGGCAAATGAGCAGACGGATAACTAATGGTAAGCGATCAGCGCCGCCCATGGACACCCGCAACACCAGAGGAGTCACAGGTGCGTTGCCGGCCTTTTAAAAAGGAATACGCGTTTTTCTTGAAGGTTTAAAGATCGTATCGGTTCGGAAACACCGCCGACAGATCCCACAGTGTAGCTGACTTCGGCGGCGGGGAGCGGACAGCGCGGCGCCACGTTGTATTACGTGGTGTAGCGTACCTTGACGTATCCCTCGTAGGCGGTGCCCTGTCCGCGCGCGGGGTCGATGCCGAGCGGGCGGCGGCCGGCGGCGGCGGGGAGCGGACAGCGCGGCGCCACGTTGTATTACGTGGTGTAGCGTACCTTGACGTATCCCTCGTAGGCGGTGCCCTGTCCGCGCGCGGGGTCGATGCCGAGCGGGCGGCGGCCGGCGGCGGCGGGGAGCGGACAGCGCGGCGCCACGTTGTATTACGTGGTGTAGCGTACCTTGACGTATCCCTCGTAGGCGGTGCCCTGTCCGCGCGCGGGGTCGATGCCGAGCGGGCGGCGGCCGGCGGCGGCGGGGAGCGGACAGCGCGGCGCCACGTTGTATTACGTGGTGTAGCGTACCTTGACGTATCCCTCGTAGGCGGTGCCCTGTCCGCGCGCGGGGTCGATGCCGAGCGGGCGGCGGCCGGCGGCGGCGGGGAGCGGACAGCGCGGCGCCACGTTGTATTACGTGGTGTAGCGTACCTTGACGTATCCCTCGTAGGCGGTGCCCTGTCCGCGCGCGGGGTCGATGCCGAGCGGGCGGCGGCCGGCGGCGGCGGGGAGCGGACAGCGCGGCGCCACGTTGTATTACGTGGTGTAGCGTACCTTGACGTATCCCTCGTAGGCGGTGCCCTGTCCGCGCGCGGGGTCGATGCCGAGCGGGCGGCGGCCGGCGGCGGCGGGGAGCGGACAGCGCGGCGCCACGTTGTATTACGTGGTGTAGCGTACCTTGACGTATCCCTCGTAGGCGGTGCCCTGTCCGCGCGCGGGGTCGATGCCGAGCGGGCGGCGGCCGGCGGCGGCGGGGAGCGGACAGCGCGGCGCCACGTTGTATTACGTGGTGTAGCGTACCTTGACGTATCCCTCGTAGGCGGTGCCCTGTCCGCGCGCGGGGTCGATGCCGAGCGGGCGGCGGCCGGCGGCGGCGGGGAGCGGACAGCGCGGCGCGACGCGCGCGCAGCACCACGTGTGGACCGCCAGCCCGCACGTCTCGCACACCACGCCCTGCCGCGTCAGACCCATCTACGGGGGACATAACTAATTGGGTACTTGCCAACTACTCAAATTCAATACTTTTCTATGAATTTTGTACAAGATTACGAGACGTATTCTGATGTTACGGTTTTTTAGCGTTAACCACCCTACTTATTTGTTATAAAGCTGGAAAAATACTTTCTAAAATTAAGTCGGTCATAAAATCAATTAATGAAAGGATGATTATTTTTAAATATTTTTTTGCATTGAACATTCGAAATAATTTATTTTTGATTAATTCTTTCAATGGAGCATTTTAAAAGTAATGTTAAAGAATGCCCTTCTGTTTTTCGGTTACACAAACCCCCAAGCAGTCGTTAAAGCGTTTAAAAATTTTATAGAAAAGGCTTTTATAGAGACTATAGCACCTCATTTAGCTTTCATTTTTAATAAAAGCATATATCAAGGAGTTTTTCCGGATTTGATGAAACACAGTAAAGTAGTTCCATTGTTTAAATCCGGTGATAGCGCTGAACCCAATAACTATAGGCCGGTTTCTATTTTACCAGTACTTAGTAAAGTGTTTGAAAGACTAATGCTTGTTCAGATGCTGCGCCACTTTAACACGAATTCTATCTTTCATGATCAACAATACGGGTTCCTGCACTACTGACGCAGCAGTAGCTTTAATAAAACGTGTTGTTGCCTCATGGGAAGAAGCACAAGATGCAATTGGAATATTCTGTGATCTTTCGAAGGCATTTGACTGTGTTGAGCACGAAACGCTTTTGCTGATGCTGCAACACTACGGCATTAGAGGGGTATCGCTAAATCTATTAAAGTCATATCTTCGGGATAGGCAACTTAAGATGCAAGTAAATAAGGTAAACTCACAGGGTGCTAGCCTATCTATGGGTGTACCGCAGGGCTGGATACTAGGTCCTTTCCTATTTTTGGCATATATAAATGACTTGCCCCATTTATTCCGGAATGACATTCTACTGTGGGGACACGCTGCTGACATTGAGTCTATCTTTATCTTGCAGAAACGCGCCGTCAGAGTTATATACAGCCTTAAGGGTCGTCGCGAATCTCTCAGAGAAAGGTTTAGAGAGGTCAATATTATGACCGTTCCATGTCAATTTATTTATGAAAATATTATGTATGTTAGGAAAAACCTACATTTATTTAGTAAAGTGTCTGACAGACACAATTATCAAACTAGACATAAGATAAAGTCCGCCATTTTTTAGATTGTCAAAAGTACTCAAGTCGTTCATGGGATTCGGTGTTAAATGTTATAACAAAATCCCCCAAGAAATACTGCATCTAAATGAAAGAAAATTTATGTATTAAAAAAACGTTATGTAGACAAGCATACTACAAACTAAATGATTATATAGAGGATTTTTTTTTAAGGGGGGACAATCATCGAATTACTGCTCCCGCCTGGGTGAGGCGGAAGGGAGTGTCAGACTCTTACTGACTAAAAACCACCCCGTTCCTTCTCCTGCACGTCGAGCCGGAGCCCCGGTTACCCGTTAGGTTCTCCGCGACATTATATAGAGGATAAAAGTGCTTGGAGGCAGGCTGGTCCGGCTCCGCAGGATAATGCAGGAAACACAGTGATTTTCAATGAATTCTATTTATGTAATAATATAATCATGTTGCTTAAATGTTCGTATAGTGTAAAACTTTGCACAATTTATTGTAAATGTGAGAGCCCTGTAATTAATTAAATCAAATTAGACTAGTAGAATGCATTTATGTCAGCTTGGAGTTGTCATGCTCACTCAAGGATCTCATTGGCGGTGGCACGTGCATTGGATCGCTCGATTCCCTACAAAATGGTGGAGTTGGGCGTTGCTGGAGTACGTGAAATGTTCGTGAACGGGCACCGTCAATTGGGACTGGTCAGCTCCAGACTGTATCATTTTATTATCCTCAAGGTTATTTTCTTTTTCAATCTCTTTGACTGGATTTAGGTGTTGCATTGTTCTCACACAATCGAACCAATAAAACTATGTAACTAGAGAATTGTATTGTAAACCTGATTGAAAAAGAGTAACCTATTAAGTTTCTTGCTCGTTCTTCTCCATAGGAATCTACACCTTGGAATGAGCAACTAGCTTCACTTCTAAGTTTTTTGTTGTTGACGTTCAAAAATGCCATCCTGGTCTAATTGAAATAAATGATTTTGACTTTGACTTAACATAACAACATTTAAGTGTCACCTGTATAGTAAGTAAATAATTAGTTTAGGTGCTACATCACGCTAAGTAACTGGGTACTTTCCAACCCAGGAACAGTCGAAATAATTTATTATTGATCAAAAAATTTATTATTACGACTGTTCAATACAATAAAATCCTAAAAAAAAATAATCACACTTTCATTAATTGATTTTATGACTAACTTAATTTTAGTCTTTACCAGTAAAAATTTATAAAATTAAGGAAGCTGTTTGACGCAAAAACATGCGACATCACAATACACAATCTCGTACAAAATTCATAAATAAAAACTGACGTTTTTCACAGTTCGTATAAAAAACTGAATGTGACTAGTCGGCAAGTAGGTATTCAATTTCATTCTCCTTGATTTTAGATAAAAGACAGTCGCTATAACTACAACAAAATAAAAACCATGAGCAATAAGTATGGTAAGAAATGAACTTGTCGTATACAGTACTTACCATGAGCGACGTACAATGGTTGCACTTCGTAGGACTGCTGAACGTCCTCACCAAGAACTGATGGACCTTCTGCTTGCCTGGCACCGTGGGGCCCAGCGATGGATCCTGGGTAAAAACGATAAATGGTTAATAAAAATGGTAAACGTATTTCCGTGGTAAATTTTATCAAAAACTGTAGAATATTTTTCTTTGCTGTATTAGTTCATTCATATGTAGACAATCTATGTAGTTTCCTTATGGCATCGAGCATTTCTTTCTTTATTGAAACAAAGAGTTTCCTTTTTCTTGTATAGAGGCACTGTTTCTATGGATTGTCAGTATGCATATGTGAGCACCGTGTTAGACTATAAGATTGTTTTTTATTTTTATTATTTTAGTAAGGTTTGTAATTAGTACCTATAATGCGTCAAGCGTGTCTTTGCATTGTTCTCACATATGCGTACAGTATTGAAATATGTATCAGAGACATTGTAGAACATACTTTTTTTAAAAGAGTAACGAATGGAGTTTCTTGCTCGTTCTTCTCCACTCGAATCTACATTTTTGAAATTGAAATAAATGCTTTGACTTTGACTTAGTATGATATGAACGTATAGGGGAAACGAACAAGAGAATCACTTGAGAGTAAATGATCAGCGCCATCTATAAAAATCCCACAAGAAAGTTGCCAGCCTTATAACAAGGAGTGCGGTGTTTATTTGAAGATTTGTAGGTCTGTATCAGTCTCGAAATCCCTCAGGCTATGAGTTCATTCCACAAATCCGCAATTTGATACATGGATGATGACCCCGATCATCAACAGTATTTACTATTTGCTACGAAGCGCCGTATCTTGGAGTTCCATTATCGGACAGATTAAGGAACGCTATGCTGCGCTCCACGACTAAAACCATTGACATTGGTCATAAATGTCAACGCGACTCGAGCGCACTCGGGTCACGGCATTTAAGCTGAGCTCTGGCCTTTTTGCGCCGTCTTCCCTGTATATTTTTTTGTGTGTTATTGAACTTTGTGACGGCGTGCAAATAAACGATTTTTCTTTCTTTCTTCTTTCTTTATAAAGCCGCAGACTTGAAGTGGAATTGGGCTAGTCATGTTTGCCGTATGTCCGCATCCGTAAAAAGCTTTTTGTCCACTTAAGTCTTCGATCAACAATAGCAACTAGATAAAGGGTTGCGTACAAAATCAAGCTCCAGTTCTGTCCGTGTGAATAATAATAGTAAAACGATAACAAACAGAGAAAAATGTTTTAAAATAGTTTTAAGTTCAACCTAATAACAACCATGGCACCTAATAGTAAAGTCATAAATCGTCAAAATATTATCTAATACTTACGACCATTCGTCATATAAGACGAGAAAAACATTTTCTTACTCCTGTCATGTAAAAATTAAAAGACATAAGTTATTTAATATCTAGTTTGAATACAACCTTAAGCTAGAACAAATAAAGATAATTTTTCCGTTATTACCTTGCGATGTTATATCGTTTTGTTTTGTTTCGTTTTGGTTTTTCGAATTTCGAATTTCGCTACAGGAGGTATGTATGGAGTAGCGTTGAACACTAAAATAATTTTATAAATTATGAAAATTAATATTTCGGGATCTTAGTATACATCACTTATTTTTATTAGCGGTACGTTTTTGTGTA